TGATAGCCATTCTGACTAGTGTGAGGTGATATCTCATTTTGGTTTTAATTTGCATTTCTTTGATGACTAGTGATGGTGAGCATCTTTTTGTATGTTCATTGGTCTTCCATATGTCCTCTTTGGAGAAGTTTTCAGTTTACTGCTCTCTCTCTTTTTGGCTCCCTCATGGTGTGAATATTGGTATGCTTGAAGTTGTTCTAGAGGTTTTTACACTATTCTCATTGTTTTTGTATTCTTTTTTCATTGTGCTGTTCTGGTTGGGTGGTTTCTGCTTCCTTATCTTCCAAATCTCTACTTTGATTTTCTGCTTTATCTACTCTACTTTTTAAAAAAATATTTTATTTATTTTTTAGAGAGAGGGGAACACAGGGAGAGAAACATTGATGTGTGAGAGAAAGATCAATTAGTTGCCTCTCATCTGCACCCCAACTAGGAACTTGGCTTGCATCCCAGGCATGTGCCCTGACAAGGAATTCAACTGGTGACCTTTAGCTTTGCAGCACAATGCTCATCCAACTGAGCCATATCAGTAGGGCTCTACTCGTCATCTCAGCCAGTGCATTCTTCATTTTTGACTGTTTCTTTTTTATGTCTTCTATTTCCATTTTGGTGTTTCCTATTTCTTTGTTGAAGTTCTCATTAAGTTCATCTACTCTTCTCCTGAATTCACCGAGAACTGTTATAACCAATGTTTTGAATACTGCATCTAGTAGATTGCTTGTCTCCATTTTGTTTAGTTCTTGGGACATGTTTCTTTGTCTCCTCATTTTAGAAGCCTCCCTGTGTTTGTTTCTATGTATTAGGTTGAGCTACTACAACTCTTAGGCTTGGCACAGTGGCTTTATGTAGCAAGTGTCCTATAGGGCCCAGTGGCACAGCCTCCCCAGTCACCCAAGCCAGGCACTCAAGGTGTGCCCCCCATGGGGGCTGTGTAAACCCCCCTGTTGTAGTTGAGCCTTGATTGTTGTTGGCACCTCAGTAGGAAGGATTTACCCCTAGGCCAATTGGTTGTGAGGGCTGGCTGTGACTATTATGGAGGATCAGTTATACAAGGGCTCACTTCTTTGGTGCTCTGGTGCCCGCCAAGTCCACCCCTTGAGTGTGTCCCTGTGGAAGAGGTTGCATGGTACTTCTATGTGGTCTGAAGCTATCCACCAGGTGGGCTGCCTCTGGGGCCTCCCTGGAGATGAAACCAAGGTCAGCCGTTACCTATGCCTTGCATGGAGCCACCCAGCATTGCTGCAAAGTGATCTGCAGATGACTGCCTCTTATGCTGGGCCTAGAGGTGCCCAGGAGAGGCCAAGCTGTGAACTAAGGCCAGCTGCTGCCAGTGCCAGGCCTGGGACCATTTAGCAAGAGTTATGGGACATGCTGAGGTTAAATGCTCTTATTTGAAAGATTTTAGGAATGTCTGAAGCATGAGCTAAGATAGGCTGCTGTATGGAAAAGCCACGGGAAATGGCTTGGGGTGGGTCCACAAGTTGGTGTGGAGGGATCTCAGGGAATCACCAGGGTGGGGCAAACTGTATTAGCCAGGTTGATGGAACCTCAGACACGGTACCCGCCTGCTGGCTCTGTTCCAGAAAAGGAACAATGGCCTCTGCTTACACTTCTGTCTGGGAGAAAGCTGCCCCTCCAGTTCTTGCCCTGATACTGGACAACTCAGTTCCACCCTGTGTGTCCCAGCACTGGAACTCAGAGCAAGTGAATTGGAGTAAGTCCATGTGCAAGCCTGTAAGAGGAATTCTTGGGCCTCCATAAGCCATCCAGCTCACTCAGCTATAATCTCTGCTGGTTTTTACAGCCAGAAGTTATGGAAACTCCATTTCTCAGCACTTGAACCATGGACTGGGGGCCCTGGTGTGGGGCTGTGATATTTCACTCCTCTGGGAGGGGGCTCTGCATCCAAGATATCCTCCCTGATTTTTATCCAACACATGTGGGTGTGGGACCAGTCAATTCTGTGTCTTGCCCTCCTACCAGTCTCAATGTGGCTTCTTTTTATCCTTAGTTGTACAACTTCTGTTCAGCTAGATTTCAGGCAGTCCTGAATGATGGTTGTTCTGTAGTTTCATAGTAATTTTGAGGTGGTTGTGGGAGGATTGAATACCGTATTTACCTATGCCACCATCTTACTGTAAGGGCTTGTTGGTACCAGTTTAGTGTTGTGCATGATAACATTTGGTCTTTCTTGGAACTTGACTTTTTACATTTGATTATCCAAATATGAAGAATGAAGGTATACTAACTCTATAGTATTTATAAATTTGTTTACTTTTTTGTAAATATAATTATTTTATATTTAACTGCAAAAATTTGCTTGGTGTAAAAATAATATTCAACAGCTTAATAGCAATTATATGGCTATTTAAAAAAGTGATGTTGATCTGTATGTGTTTACATGGGAAGATGTCTATAATATATTGTTAAGTGAATAAAGAGCAGATTAGGAAACAGCAATTAATGTGTGATCTCATTTTAAAAAATAAATTCTACATAGTTATAGCAAAAATTGTAGAAGAATAATAGTGGGAGCAATATTTATATTCTTCTTTATAATGAATGATTACAAAGTTCTAGGTGTGGAATTAATTATTTTAATCCTCACAATTATTTTATTATTGTAATTCCCACAGTAACTCCATTAATTATTTTACTGTTAATCATTATGTAATAATAATTATTATACAATTAATTAATTGCACATATATTTAATTATATGTAAATATATGATTCATTATATTTCTTGTCCCAGGCACTGCGTTATTATAGAGCTACAACTAAAAACCAGATAGACACAGTACCCAGTGTTTTTTTAAATTACAGTTTACATTCAGTATTACCAGTATTTTGTATTAGTTTCAGGTGTATAGCATAGTGGTTAGACAACCATGTACTTGAAAATGTATTTCCCCCAAAGTTTCCAGTACTAACCTAGCACCATAGTTAGTAACTACAATCTTATTGACTATATTCCCCATGCTGTACTTTATATTCCCATGACTATTTGTTCTATTTTCAATTTTTTATTGTTGTTCTATTACAGTTGTCCCAATTTTCTCTCACTGCTCTCCCCTGCCCCACCCACCCACTGCTCCCCTAGTCAGTCCCCACCCTGTCGTCCATGTCCATGGGTCATTTATACTTGTCCTTTAACTAGACCATTCCCTTTCTTTCCTCCATTTGTTTGTTTTGTTCATTAGGTTCCTATTATATGTGAGATTATACAGTAGTTGTCTTTTGCCACCTGACTTATGTCACTTAGCACAATACTCTCCAGTTCCATCCATATATACAATGGAATATTACTTGGCCATAAAAACGAATGAAATCTTACCATTTGCAATAGCATGGATGGACCTAGAGACGGTATTATGGCTAAGTGAAATGTGAGTCAGAGAAAGACAAATAACATGATTTAATTTATATGTGTAATCTAAAGAACAATATAAATGAACAAACAAAACAGAAACAGACCCATGGATACATAGAACAGAGTGATGGTTCCCAGTGTTTTGTCATTATCCTAACTCTACAAATAGAAATTAGAGAGATTGTCCCACTATCATTGAACTTATGGTACAATTTCTGGTTCAAGTAAACATACAGATTCACAAGGCTCCCATAAACTAAATTTATCAACAGTCTATTCAGGTGGACATAGCACAGGAACCACAGTTTGCCAGAAGGCAGCATCAGCCTCTCCTTCCTGTGGGAGTCTTTGCAGCAATTTGCACAATCTTATAACAGCCATCATCTTTGGTCCCTCAGATGATGGCTGAGACCCAAGGAGTGAGATCCACACTGGGTAGGTGTGGGAGCCAATCTGACATAAAAATGTCATTTCCCATGTAACAACTCCACAACTACAGGGTTCAGGGTCTCTGTAGGAATCACTACCACCATCACCACCATCAGGTATTTATAGTTCATTTCTCCCAGTCTAAAGGAAGTCTGCCAATCAGAGGTCATTTCAAATACAATCAATGCTACCTAGAAGCACAATTAATGTTTAATTCCAATCGAATTACCAGGGCAACAGAACTAGAAAGTGAACAAAAGGTCAAATTCTTATGAGGAAGAAGGGGAAAGGGTTTTGTTAAGTAGCTTCACAATAAGCAAGTGGCAGAGTAGATTTAAACTTGTGTTTCTGATTTTAAAGCCTAGCTTCTGCAGTTTATTAGATGGTTAAAAAATAAAGTTCTTGGAGGAAAGTTTATAAACAACATTTACTTTCTTCTTCAGACTTCCTGAATTCTTAGATTTCTTTTTGTAATAAGCAGGAATTTCTTTGTTATTAGAAAGAAATATTTTCATTAAAAAGACTAGCAACATGAAAACAGGCTTTTGCTCTAGCATTAAGTGAAAGTAGCCAGAAACAAAATGATATATACACTTGCATTGTGATTAGGATTATGTGAAAAGAAAGATGCAGACAGAGAAGCTGAGGGCAAATATAATTCAGTCAGGATAGTTGACTTATGAAGGGCTTTTCTTCTGTTTTCCAGATTTTCTATGAAAGACTTAACGTTATTCTTAGAAGAAAGTGAAATGCATTTCTTAAAATAGAAAAGGAAATATATTTATCTTATAAAATATTTCAAATGTAAAAACCCAGAAAACATCATCCTAAGTAATAGATTTAGTTCCATATTTCTTTGTATAGGTGAATATACTTTACATAAAATTTATGTTAGAAATTTGGAGTTTTCAAATTATCTCAAAACATATACATGGACATGAAAGATGGGAAGGTAGATTAGAAAGTAGTTCTGTTCCATTCATGAAGGCTACCTATGCAATTGTAAGAATTTTCCCAGGGCTACATCTGTGTCCCTGTCCTGATTTTATACTATTTTAGTGTGTTACAGTAACTTCCCTAGGTTTGGGCTCACACAATAGAATGAAAATACTATTGTCCAACCCCTTTTATAGGTTACTTGCCTATATTTATCTCAGAATGTAGCTAATTAATATTTCATTTTTCTTCCAAAACTCACATTTTGGGCTTTATGTGATCCTTCTTTAGCCAAAGACTCATATAATTGGATAGCTGCTGTTATGTTTTGCATGCCAAAATTTCCAAATAGCAAAGCATCAGCCATTTTCTCCATAGCTTTCAAGTTTCCCATGTCAGCTGCTTTGGCAAAGAGTATGTAGGCTCTGTTTCAAGAATATAAAGTTAGAAGTTTGATTATCAAAAATGCAATTTTACATCCCCTCCTTCATACTGCTTGTCTCTAGGACTCTGTTATGATTGTTCTTAACAATACAGTTTAGCTGAGGTCCATTACATCCCTAGATGAGTAGTTTTTTTTTACTCCTAGATTATTCTATGATTATAATTGCACTATATCTGACAAATAGTGAAGCTGATAAAAACAGTAGAAATATATAGGATGCATTATGTTTCAAGCTTATATACCAAGTGAAGTGAAGTGAAAAAATTGAGGTACTTATCCTAAAATAGCAAACTGCAAGTTCACCATGAGTACTTGTTTTATAAAATGAACTCAGAAATATATTATAGAAATCAATTAAAATAGTAAAAAATGGTATGTCACATCAAGGATGTTACTAGTTTGAGAACAAGAGTCCATTAATATTCTAAGATAATTTAAAAAAATGCAACATATTCTTCAGCAGATCAAAGCCTGGCTGTGCAAAAAAGAACAATAACCTAACAAAAACTGATGGTTATGAGCTCTAGAGTTTGACAGCCTGGGTTCAAATCCTAGCTCCACCACTTACTAGTTTGAGAGTTTTGGGCAGTTTACTTACTTCCCTGTGCCTCTCTCATCTATGGAATGGGGATAATAATAGTGCCTATTTCATGGGGTTGCTGGAAAAATTCAGTGAGATAATCCATATGTAGTGTTAGGTACAGCAACTGGTACAGAGAAAATACACAATAAATTTAGCTACTACTACTACTGCATAGGTTCTAAAATGTTATAGTATTGTAATTTTTGTCCTATAATTAGTGGGTAGATGGTATAAAAGCTTAGTGATTGCAAATTTAGATGCCATAGGATTGCCTTACATTGCATTTTCTGAGGGGTCAGAAGTCACTTGAACCTGATCTGTATAATAGAAATGATAGAGAGACTTACAAGGCCAAAACTTGTGTCAGAGACACAGAGTACTTTTGGGATTAATTTTTACTATTATAACTTACTTTTTTTGTAGTGGTAAGACAAGAAAGCACTAACCCCTACCTGTGACCTTGAATCAAATGCAGGAACAAGCACATATCTACCATTGCTACCAACTCAGAAGGATTAGGAGACTCAGCTTTATACACCATCTTTCCAGATGGATACTAAAATAACCTGCTCTTTGTAAAAGACTGGAGCAGAATAGAATGGACAAAAAGAGATGGTACTGAGTGATATATAGATAGACATTAGGGTTCTGGATGGCAAAAAAATTGTCAGAGCCTGCTGGGATTCTGGGGGAACAGAAAACAAATAAGATAGAAGGTCTCAAAGGTCAATGAATGCAAACGTCTGGCATCTAGGGATACATTTGACATCAGGATACAGACTCCTAAAGCCCTTCTGTCACATGGCTTGTTGTTGCAACTGCATAGCCTTTTGAGATGCTCAGACTTGAAGGGCATCAACATGGACCACGGCAGAGAAAACTTGGACTGAAGAAGCCAGCAGTAAGATATATCCATTCACTGGTCCTGGTGGCAGCAATAGGTTGCAAAACCAACCCTACTATGTGTCTTTGATTCCAAGGGAGAGGTGGGTATCTAGATCCCCTGCCAGGAAAGTCAAGGTGATATAACGGATACTAGAAGCAGGACCCAAGGCTGGAGAAAGTTGTTGGTGAATTAGGTAGGATTAAAATCTGGACTGCCATTCTCAAAAGGAAAAAAAGTGGGTAAAACTGGGCAGCAGGAACATATCCCAGAAAGAAAGTTCAGTTAGGTATCTTGATTATCTCTAAAGGATTTGGCATTAGATACTAAGGTGGGTGCTGGGGAAGGGGGAGGCTAAATACCTCTCTAGAACACATCAGAAAATTGGTGTGGGGTAGCAGCATGGCTCCCAAACTTTCTTTGCTGATGGAGAGTAATTTTTAATGATAGTTAACCCTGGTTGTCACTGAGGCTTCTTAACTCTTTCAGACAAGTTTGTGTTTCCCTGACATGCTTGCTTAACATCTGTCTATATGTCTAATAACACTGACTAATTCAGTGATTTTCCTCTCATACGTACAAAGAGGCTGAATGAATGAGTGAGAGAACCAATGCCCTTCTTTCTTTTCTGACTTTGGCAGAATTACAAAGTCCTTTTGGTGTTTCTTTTCCTCCTCTGTAATTTGGGGATAATAATCTATGTCTAATAATATAATAGTAAGCAATGAATAATATCACACACATAAATGCCTAGAACATTAACTAGCCCAGGACAGATACTTTTAAATGGCAGTTGCTGATGTTGTTATAACCAGGTTCATAGTGGACTGCCTGCCCCCATCCTCTGTACTCTTACACTTGCTTTGAGTTTTAAGAAAGAATTCATGGATTCTGCTGTTGGCCTCTCTAGGGCTGGCTAACACAGCATTGGGATGCTTCCTCCAGGGCTAATAAGTTTGCTTAATTTGCCTGAAAACAAAAGATGCCTCCTTGGGAGTGCAGAGCCTGGCCTTTCTACTATTGGTTCAAGACACACTTGCTTTCTTTTATACCACATCTTCTACTTACTGGTTAGAGGACTAGAGATAAAAATAAATGCTTATCTCCTGGTTACTGTGTGTCAGTCATTATTCTAAGAACTTGACTATATTATTTAGGGCAATAGGAGGTTAAGTAACTTGCCCAGGATCACATAGCCAGTAAATGGTAGAACTAGGATTTGATGCAGGAGTTTTAACTAGAGACTTGAGGGGTGACCTCATACTGTGCCCCTCTACTGAGGGGAGAAGATATTTCTGACCCCCTTGAAGACAAGTAGACAAGTGAAAAAATGGACACACACAGCTTAGTCACTTCCCTGCTTTATATTTGTGATCATCTTAATTTAACATCCTTGATTCCCTGTTCTCAACTTTTTAATGGGGAAGAGTGAAGCTCTTAACTCATTAGTCTGTTTTGGGGATAAAATGGGATCACATACATGAAAGTGCTTTAAAACCAGAAGTGCTGAACAAATGTTTAGTTAGGTAGAATAAGCCATTTTAAAACAACTACTGTAATTTAAACAACACATAGTTATTATAATTTCATTTGGAATATCTAATAAAAAGCCAAAAGAGAACATTTTTACCTGAAGGCTCAGGTAAGTTCCTTAATTCTTCATTTAACTTAATGTGGAGAAACCACAATCTCATATACAGTTCTATTTATTTAGGCTGATAATTTGTAGGATTTTTTAAATACTATTTGATCATTTAAAAAAGAAAAGCTATGGGCAAATACACTTATTTGTTATTTCAATAAAATTTTAATGACAACCTAGATTTTGGAGTCTTCTTTTTTTCAAGCTGGAAATTTAACTTGGTTTATGTAACTGGGTAAAGACTTACTCTGCTTTTTGTTTTTGGCTTTTAGACTGCTGGAGAATCTTGATGCCCATCTTAAATAGCTGCTCACCTTCACCTCTGAAATTTTTCTTTGCTTGCTTTCTTACTGTATATGGACAAACAAGGAAAAGTAACATTATTTTTGTGCTTTATATTTTAAAAATAATGTGCTGGTATGTTAGTTTGAGTTTTATGTTCCCTATTTTTTAATCTTCACTTCAAGAAAAATCACTTTACTTTTGGTCAGAAGGTGGAAACTGCTTACAAAAGCACCCTCTTCCTGTCTTTTGTGAAAGGGTCTGAAGGGTGGGGGAGACAGAAATGCCTCTGATGGTAGAAGAGAAAGAGATATTCCAGTCTGGAAAAGGGATACAAAGTCCTGCAAACTGAAGGCAGGAAGCAAGGCCTCCAAGAGAAGAGTTTGCTGGGTATACTCTAGTGGCTGGATCTTAGACCCCAGCCTCTCAGCTCTCAGACTCCCTTATTTGAGCATGGGCCATAAACCTCAGGGCTATAATATTCCAGGAGAACATGAGGAAGGACATAGACAATGGGCATCTCCAAGATGACAGATGTGCGCCCAAAATTGGAGGTGAAAATTTTGCTCTGCCTAAGACCTCTTCCTCCTCCCCTGGAAACTTCCTAAGACCTTTCTAGACTGTCTGAGAACTGTTGGGGATGACTATCAGGAATAAAAGAGGGAAAAGTAAGTGTGCCACGTGTAGAACCTTAGGGAAGACACACAGAAAGAGTACCAATGATAATTTGCCTTGTGGGATGGGAGCTCAGAGTAAATTTTATAGGACTTAATAAAAATAAAGAAATAGAATTTTACCTGCTACAATCATGGTATTTCTCAAACATTTATATAACACCTCACAATTTTCAAAACATTATCACCAGTTTACAGATGGGGAAAGCTGGTTAGCATTATAGTCCTCCACCCCACTCCGACACACACACACACCCTTCTGCAAACTCACAGTGCCTCTTGAAGTCCATTACAACACTCCATGAAACCTCTGATTAGATGAACCCCTTGTGAAATCATTTTAAATGAAAGGCATTCCGGGATTTGATGTCTCATTAAAAAGACCACAAAGAACTTTAAGTGCTTTTTGTTTTTCTTCTACCTGATAATCTCTCCGAGTTGTTCACTTTGTTATTCAATCAATCTACTAATACCAGAAATGTTAGCATCTAATTTCTGCTTTGAGTTATATGAGTGTTATTTATCCTCATGATTAAGGAGGAAAGATAATGGGAAAAAGTCTACTAATCTGTGTATGGAATAGCAATTGTTCCTATTACCATGCTTCCAAAGATCAAAAATACATTTTTAAAGGTTTACTGCATGCATATACATAACAATAATGATTTACCACTATCTACTCATGGCTTCTACTTTTTATTTGTAATCCATGCTGTGATGACCAAATATATTAAAATTTGAGTTTTCTTTACTATAAAAGTCTCAATTATCAGATAAAGTTATCTGACAATACTTTAATTTTCTTTTTATTGTTCCCAAATTTGGAAAAAGCAGTCAGGAAATGATTTGAGACCACTCTGAACTTAATGTAAAGGATCTTCACAAGTCTGAAGTCCTCTGAATGGCCAACTAAGGACTCTGTTGTTCTGTCCTTATAGTGGCTGTAAGCTGACTGAAGTGTTGGGATGGACAGTAAGAATAAAAGGGGACAGAGTAGGTGTGCCATAGAACTATTTAAGACAGCAGCAAGGGTGGAATGTGCTCCAACTAGATGATCTTATATTTTAGTGTTTGTTGGAGACATAAATTATAGACAGTTCTTGACATTTTATTACTTCTGCAGTCTTATCATGACACCATATCTAACCTAGATACTATGACAGGCCCAATTGTGTCCCTCCAAATTTATATGTTGAAGTTTCAATCCCCAATAATTCAGAATATACCTTTATTTGGAAAAAATAAGGTCTTTGAAGAAGTGATTACATTAAAATGAGGCTAGTGGGGAAGGGCCCTAATCCAATATGACTGGTGTTCCTATGAGAGGAGGAAGAAACACCATGGGCATGCAGGCATGGAGAAAAGACTATGTAAGGATGAAGTGAGAAGGTGGCCATCTATAAGCCAAGGAGAGAAGCTATAGAATGAAACCAACTCTGCTAATCCTATACTTTTAACCTTCAGAACTGAATAAACAAATTTCTGTTGTTCAAAACTACCCTCTTTGTGCTATTTTGTTATGACAGTCCCACCAAACTAATAGAGATGCCAACTCCCCATCACATGGAAAACAAGCTGCCCTTCTCCCCATTAGAAGGAATGCATCCAAACCTCAACTTCCTATCAGATCAGTGGCTACATTTCAAATGTAGGAGGGACTGCAGTTTCCCATGGGCCCCTAAGGTCTTTAGATGCTAGACATCTGACTTTTCCAGGCAGTCAGATGCCCAAGTAGCTTACCTCTGAGAAGACTATTTTGTTTTTATGATTGTACTCTTAAGTAGGCAATGTAGCAGATAGACTGCCCATGTATGCAGCAAACCCTGGACCCAATTCACCTTTCTGTGGGATGATGGGAGAACTGGGAACCTATGCCTTCTCATGCTGACCCTTCAAGTATAAATTTCCCTAATCAAATCTATGCCTTAATCCCTATCACTTGTCCTTGTGGAATTCATACAGACTCTTGTTTATGATGACAAAAAGCAAATCTTTGGAACAAAAGGGGCCCACTTTCTTGTTTCAGATATTAATAAGAAAGAGGACAGCTGGAGACAACTTATTCTCTGTCATTCATACATTTACATTTACATATTCATTTAGTTGGTATGAATTGAACACTTATCATGTGTTAGACACAGTGCTAGATATTGTATTCACATATATGATCAAGACACTGCCTCACCCTGGTAATAGAGACAGACATGTTTACCAAAAACTACAATGCCATGTGGTAGACACTATGTAATAAGGCACTGTGGGAGTGCAGGAGCCTTCTTTGTAAGTAACACAAACCTAATCTGATTGACGTAAGCAAAAGGAACTTATTGAGGGGGTATTGAAGGCTCATAGAATCAGTGAGGTTGGTCAGGAACCAAAAGCATCCCTGGAAGCAGAAAGGCAGACGCTGCTATGGAATAGACTAGAATCCAATCCTTTTAGGACTTTTTTCCTCTCTGCTCTGGACTTCATGGAGGGCAAATCTGATGAATCGAGTTAGGGAAGACAGGCTTATTATATTCCTAACAATCTATCCACTGGGGAAGACTTAATTCCTTAAAAGAAACTTGGGATGGTGAGAAAAGTGAAATGGTTGATGGAAGGCTCCCAAATAGCAAATGCCCACTCCAGGCATCTTTCCTTGGCTAAGCGAAAAAATCTTCACAGGTGAAGTGACATTTTAGAGAGTTCTTGAAAGGTGTATAGGAGTTTGTCAGGCCAAGAAGATGAAACTGGCATTTCATTTGGAGGCAATAGTCTATGTAAATGAACCATGGGTATGAAATGATTGCGGAGGCAGGTGTCAGTGTGGCTTGAATGAAGAATGAGGGCTTGAGTAACATGGTTGGTCATGCATTGCAGCCTGGCTGTGGAAGGAAATCATACTGACAGAGTCCTCAGAGGAGTAAAGAGGGAGTGAGAGGAGGGACTTGAGGTCATTGTGAAGGTGAAGGCAGGTTGGTTGGAGAAAGAGAGAATTGGCAGGAAGGGGACATTGATCAGAGGTTATTTTGAAGTCTGAAGTCATATTGGTGAAATAGCTCTACAAGTGGCTGGTAGAAGGCTGAGGAGAAATAGAGACAAAGATGACTGGAATTAAGGAGGTTTAGGAGATAAGGCAAGGTCTTTAATGTGGATATTTAACCCTTCAGGTGCTGGTGGCTGATAGTTATTGACTAATGTGGGGTAAAACAGCCCAAACCCCTTGCATATGGGCAGGGGCAATCCTTTAGGGCAATTCACTCTTCAAAGTTCTAAACTTCTTAAAGCCTATCTTTGCTTAGCTCCTTCCCTTGCCTTATCTTTCATTCCTCACTTTTTCAGAAGTTGTACCACAAAATCTAAAACTTTAATATTTCAGTAAACACCATCTAAATCATCTAGAAAAATAAAAGGAAAAAGAATAATTTATTATTTTAAATCTCAAGTTACAACTAACATCCTGAACCACACAAAGAATGACTGAGTGCTCTTCCGGCTAAGATGGAGGCATAGGTAGATACACTGTGCCTCCTCGCACAACCACAAGAAGGACAACAACAATTAAAAAAGCAAAAAACAACCAGAACTGACAGAAAATTTAACTGTATGGAAATCCGACAACCAAGAAGTTAAAGAAGACACATTCATCCAGACCGGTAGGAGGGGCAGAGTTGGGCAGCCTGGGCAGAGAGGGCTCACAGCAAAGTGGTGGCTGGTGGACCCAGCAAGGCAGTGGATTGTGGAATGAGGTGCAGCGTGAAAGGCAGCTGGTGGACCGTGTGGTCCCACATTTGCACACAGATTAACCAGGTGAAACTAGAGAGAGAGAGATAGACCACTCAACCCAGGGACCCAGTGCTGGGAAATCAAGCCTCAAATCATTGATTGCAAACACCTGTGGGGGGTTGAGGTGATGTGAGAAACTCCCAGCCTCGAAGGAGAGTTTGTTGGAGAGACCCACAGGGTCCTAGAATGTACACAAACCCACCCACATGGGACTCAGCACCAGAAGGGCCCAATTTGCTTGTGGGAAGTGAGGGAAGTAACTGAAATCCTGCTGAGAGCGGAGCAAGCACCATTGTTCCCTCTCAGAACCCTGCCCCACATACAACATCACAACCCAGTGACAGGGGTAGCCCCGGCCTGGTGAACACCTAAGGCTCCACCCCTCACTACGTAACGAGTGCATCAAGACCAAAAAGGTCCAAATGAAAGAACAGATCAAAGCTCCGGAAAAAATACAACTAAGCGATGAAGAGGTAGCCAACTTATCAGAGGCACAGTTCAAAACACGGGTGATCAGGATGCTCACAGAATTGATTGAATTTGGTTGCAAATTAGATTAAAAAATGAAGGCTACGCTGAGTGAAATAAAGGAAGATGTAGAGGGAGCCAATAGTGATGGGAAGGAAACTGGGACTCAAATCAATGGAGTGGACCAGAAGGAAGAAAGAAACATCCAATTATAACAGAATGAAGAAATAAGAATTCAGAAAAAACTAGGAGAGGCTTAGGAACTTCCAGGATGACATCTTTAAATGTTCCAACATCTGAATTATAGGGGTACCAAAAGGAGAAGAGGAAGAGCAACAAGTGGAAAAGTTAGTTGAACAAATAATAAAGGAGAACTTCCCCAATCTGGCAAAGGAAATAGACTTCCAGGAAGTCCAGGAAGCTCAGAGAGTCCCAGAGAAGTTGGACCCAAGGAGGAACACACCAAGGCACATTATAATTACATTACCCCAGATGAAAGATAAGGAGAGCATCTTAAAAGCACCAAGACAAAAGGAGAAAGTTGCCTGCAAAGGAGTGCCCATAAGGCTGTCAGCTGATTTCACAAAAGAAACGTTACAGGCAAAAAGGGGCTAGAAAGAAGTATTCAAAGTCATGAAAGGCAAGGACCTATATCCAAGATTGCTCTATCCAGTAAAGCTTTCATTTAGAATGGAAGGGCAGATAAAGTGATTCCCAGTCAAGGTCAAGTTATAGGAGTTCATCATCACCAAGCCCTTATTATAGGAAATGTTAAAGGGATTTATCTAAGAAAAAGAAGAAAAAAAAAACATGTATAGGAAAATGACAGCAAACTCACAATTATTAACAACCACACCTAAAACAAAAACAAAAACAAACTAAGCAAAGAACTAGAACAGGAACAGAACCACAGAAATGGAGAACACATGGAGGGTTATCAACAGGGGACTGAGAGGGGGAGAGAGGGGGAAAAGGTACAGAGAATAAGTAGCATAAATGGTAGGTAGAAAATAGACCAGGGGAGGGTAAGAATAGTATGGGAAATGTAGAAGCCAAAGAACTTATAAGTATGACACCTGGACATGAACTAAAGGAGGGGAATGTGGGTGGGAGGGGGTGTGCAGGGTGGAAGGGAATGAAGGGGGGAAAGTGGGACAACTGTAATAGTATAATCA